GTATCTAATGGTTGTCGTAGTTCTTGTGGCAAAATACTGGTGACTTTTCCTTCTAATAGATATACTGGTGCAAAGCCTGTCACTGTGTGCTCGGTTTCATTATACTTATCTATACATTCTCTTGCAATTGACGTCCAGGATTTCTTTTCATTCTTCTGATTTATAAACTGGGCATCTTTCCTCAATAATTTATGTAGTGGATCCAATAATATCGAACTATTTGGTATGTATTCGTGGTAAAAGTTAATCTTTCCCAGAAACTGTCTAATATTCTTTCGGGTTTTGGGTGTTGGGAAATTTCTTATTGAAATAATGTTATCTTTGAGCGGTTTTACCGTATTATTTCCTATTATATGTCCTAGGTATTTCACTGATGTTGCTGCAAATGTGCATTTTTTAAATTTTAATCTGAATCCTTCTTTTATTATTGCTTTGAGTACTTTTTCTATGTGATCTATATGTTCTTCAAACGATTGTGAAAATATTAAGATATCATCAATGTAATTTTCTGTGAAGTCTTTCAAGTTATTATTTCTTAATATATTTGATAAAATTCTCTGGAAAATGGCAGGTGATGTTTTCAATCCAAATGGTAGGCAAGTCCATTGATAATGTCCATCCTGTGTGACAAATCCTGTCTTTTGTCTGTCCTCAATACGTAGTGGTATAGACCAAAACGCGGAATTTATGTCCAGTGTGGTAAAATATTTACAATTTCTTGCTTTAACAATCAAGTCGCTTATCAATGGAAATGGTTGTGCTTGTGGTATGACTATCTTGTTTAGTTCACGAAAATCAATACAGAGTCTCGATTTTGTATTTTCGTCTCTTTTAAATGCCAAGGTAACTGGTGCTGCGAATGGGCTGTATGATTCCTCAATTAAGTTATTTTTTTAGTAAATTACCCACCTGTTTTTCTATTTCTATTTTGTCTTCTAATGTGCAACGATATGGTCTTTTGCTACAGTACTTGTCCACCATTAAGTCTATCCGGGCTTCATAATCTGTTACTGTACCTACATCATATTTGTCTTTGGCAAATATAGTATTATAATTCTCTATTAAATTGTGTATTCGGGACTTTTTGATATTGTCCAAGTGATGTAGATTTGTTATGAAGTCATTTTTATTCACATGCTCATTAAAATTGACTTTAATTTCCTCTATCTCTTCAAATGCATTCATAGTATTTATCTCCCTCTTTGTCTTTTGTAAAATTTTTAAATCTTCATTTTGAGCTAATTTAAATTTTTTTATCATATCTAGTCCTATAATGAAATCTTCAAAATCCAGTTTGTCTACAATAAAAACATCAACATATTCTTCTATATCAAAAATCTTTACTTTTATTCTTATTAAACCTTTTGTGTATGTCACACCATTGACAGTTCTTAATAATATTCTATTTGTATCCACAGAATCATTCTGTGTTCTAACTAACCTTTTGTTTATCAGAGACACTTGTGAGCCTGAATCATATATTCCATTTATTTGTATTTTGTCTTCTAATAACATATTTATTTTTATCAATGGTGTGATTACTCGTTTTTTGTCTCTTCGCTTAGATTTACTTCTATAACCGAATTACTTCCAATCCTTTTGTTATCTGCCCCTTCTTTTTAAACCAACAAGACTGTTCTGGGTGGTATCGATTACCCTTATTTAAACACTGACAGGTTTTGCATGGTTTTTTTCCTAAACTGTATTTCTTATTGTCATCTTTTTCTTCCTTTTTTATTTTGAAGTTTTTATTATTTACCAAACTTTCACATTTACTTATTTCATGAAGCAATCTTGTTGAGGTTTCACACTTTTCAGGATCAATTCTGTTTCTAATAAATTCAGGTAAGCCGGCTGCTATAAGTGTGACCAGACTTTTCCCGCCAATATTTTCATCCATATCTAATAATAACTTTTCTTTTCTAATGGCGTATTCCATCAGTGATCCTTCTTTATATTTGTAAAATATGGCATACATTCCCGAACTCCATCCTTTATCGGCAAATGTGTCCAAAAATTTATTTTTCCACTCGGACCATCCAGCCTCGATTTTCAAAGTCTTCAATGTTGCCGAGTGCCAATCTGCACATGTTTTGTCCAAAAATAATCTTAATATTTCTATCTTTGTTGTATCTTCCTCAATCTCAAATCGTTTACATTCATTCTCGAATATTTCTATCCATTGTTTCGCATTTGAGAATTTACATACAAATTTCTCAATCATGAATCTTTCTGATATATTTTTCAAATTTAGTAGACCCTTTTTCTGCTGTGTGGATTCTACAATATCTGTTTGTTTTTTTTCTTCTTTTAAATATAGGTCGTTAAACATTAAATTATTATCTTCATCAAAATAGGCTTGAATCATTTCTTCTGTACATGTCATCCATATTGTTCTTTCTTGACCTCTTTGATTTAAACTTTTTCTCACTCTTTTGTAGGTTTCTGTTTTTGTTAATGCTATGTGATGACTCGCGTATTTATCAGTCTCAGACAGTGTATACTTTTTGTCATCTTCTGTTGTAATTGAGGTTATGGCAATTACACTCGTCTTATTGTCAGTTTGTGATGCTTCAAGCTTAAATGCAAACTGCAATTTTTGTGCCATTATAAACAAGTATTGTCGTTTTATAAGACAATAGTCTGTATTTCAATAGCAAACAAGAGGCTAAATAAAACTTCTATTTGTTTCTCTGTAAATAAAGAATGCAATTTTATTTATCGAGTAGGTTACACACTGATACAATCCTTACAAGACTAACACAATCTTACCTGTAAATAAAGAAACGACAATAAAAGTTCATTGTTATCACCTCTCGATGCATATAGCTTAACTAAGTATTAAATTAATTTACAAATAAGATTAAAATACAATTCAACAATCTCAGCATATTTGCCCTTTACATCTTTGACAATGTCAGCTAGCTTGACGTGACACGACGCGGCTCACTCACGAACTAGCAGTGCGCGCGAATATTCAAATTAAAGAGATCATTCTCTTTACATGTATGTAACCGACTCCTTCGGACTCGATTTTGATTTGATTAAACGGACAGATTTTATTCAAATTTTGCGCACCTGTCAAAGATCGATGACAATGCAATAATCCGAAAAAAAAAATTAAACTAAAAAATAAAAAATTAATAATCGATAGACGAAAAATATGGCACAGAGCGCCCCACGCTTTTTCACAATAATACCAGTATTTTTTGTTCATTACCATTTTCAGCCTAAATTAGGAATTATTTTTCACTTTTTAGTTTGATGTGCTTTAAAAGCGTGTTTTTTAGTTTTTTTAAACTATTATTTATTCATTTTGCTAAACAGCGTTTCTATTTGTTTATCCATTTCAAATAGTTGTTTATAATTACGCCAAGATCTCTTTGTGTGTTTAAAGGTGTAAGTTGTTGTTATCCAAGAGAGTAGATTTTCATGCATTTTTCTTGCGTCCTTAGATGACATTGCAATTGATCCTCTCACTTTCTTGTCTTCAATTTTATTTTCAATGGAATTGGAGGGGCATCCACCTTTTTTAGTGACAGTAGGTTTATTGGCCCAACACAAATCTTCTGCTACAGCTACTTTGAAGTTGGTGTCGACATAATAGCCAGGCATTTACTGTGATCATATCTATCATGTGAAAGAATATTCTATGGTAATTTGTTTTTTACTTTATTTGAATTCTGTAATAGCCCAGTAGCGCGTCTAAAAGATGTGAATTAACACCACCCATATGTCGATTATATTTGTATTATATTACAGCTTTCGGACATGGAATGGTAATGTTGTTTTTCGCCTTTTTGTTAAAGTGTCTCACATCAGTTAATGATATTAGGTATTAGGTTGGTGGACTCAGTTTCCGCACTAAGACTCATAATTGGTCCGTTGTGCGTAAAGTCCTGGCTAATTTAGCCAGCCTAGCTCCTTCCAGAAGCACAGAAGACTCCTGGGCACTACACAGGCTTCATGAAGCGACCTCACTGCTCCGAGGATTTCTGCACGTTGTTTAGCCACAGCCTTGCATTCCAGGACTACGTGGGTGACTGACTCCTCTGCGCTGAAACAGCCTCTGCACATGGGGCTGTCTGTCGCGCCTAGGACAAAAAGATGTTTATTAAGGAGACAACTGCCCGTAATTGCCCCTATCCTTGTTTTGAAATTAGTTGTCAGTAGAGGGTAGTACTTGTACACCTGTCCGGGGTCTTTTAGAAGGTACTGTAGTATCTTGTCGACTGTTGGTACTGGGTCTTCCTCTTTTATTTTTCGAGTGACTTAGATATCTACATAAAGTATTGGCAAGCTCAGTTCTAAAATCTGCTAACTTCATAATATGCTTCTGAAGTTTTCCTTTCACTGTGTTTACCTTTTTGTATAGGGCCCAAGCATTGATGACAGTCATGTCTAACAAGTGGTAGAAGAGCCTCGTTGTCCACTTTCTCGACTTTGTGCGGATTCGATATCGACCAATGAAGCTATCCATCAAATCAACGCCGCCCATGCGTGCATTATATTCTTTTATGACCCGAGGACATGATACTTGAACATTGGCCTTTAGTTTTTTTTCGTAGCGGGTTATAGTATCCGCTGGTTCAGCGCCAACATACGTGGAAAGTAATAGTACTTATTTGTTGTGGCCGACTTTCCAAGCCTGTTTCTCTGTACTGTTCCAAGACAATAAATACCTTTGTTGGTCAAGTACTGTAGCAGAGAAATATTCGTATAAAAATTGTCAAAATAAGTTATATGATTGACGTGCCTTGGTTACTGGTCGTAACAATCGAATAACTGTTTTTGATTAGGGTTGTAACGGAGGCCTACTTAGCGGAGGCGGATGCGGAGGTGAAGAGGTTCGCCTCCGCGGATGCGAAGGTTAACGGAGGCGGAGGCGGAGGTGAAATTTGTTGGGAAAATATAAATAAATTTATGATTAATAGAGTCAGCAACATTTATTTATATTATATATAATGTGTACAATTGTACATACATGTTCATGATTCATCTTAGTAATCAAAATGGACAAGAGGCAAATTATATTTTACGAACAAAAGCTTTGCGGCTTTTTCGCCTTCTAAGCGGTTTCTCAAGGGTTCGTAAATTAAACCAGCAGCACTAAATAACTGTTCGCTTGGCACTGAACTTGGTGGCGCCGATAAGTAAATGCGAACTATGGGAGCAAAAACTTTATATTTAATGTTATATCTCCACCACAATAAGGGATCTTCATTTAGTTGGAGTCTATTTTCTTTATTGTATTCATTAATTAGTGTTTTCCATATCATGAGGTTGCTGTTGGTATCCATGCTGTCATTTTCCGATTCCTCTTCATCACTGCAATTCTTCAACATATCAGCCAGGTTGGAATGCACACTTTGTATTGGTGACAAAATCTCAAAACTTGTGCTTGGGTCAACATTACTTGCATTTGATGCTAATCTCGCTCTCTTGGCCACAGAAGGTTCATCATCGTCAACTCGGCTTGCAACATTCGAGTCATAAAGGGTTAGCAAACGTATTAGTTCGGACTGAACTTGCTCTTTAATTACGTCATTAAAAAAACTTTAATTTGTACCTTGGGTCCAAATATGTAGCAAGCGAATACAGAGTATTGCTTTGTAGGTCACAAAATCTAGAATTGATATCTTCAATTAGTTTTTGAATGATATTCTTGAAATTTGGATTTGTGTCAATTTTTTCCTTTTCCATTTGCAGTGTATGTTTCAGTACATGTATCAAAGGAATAACTGACGATATGCAAGTGTTTGTATCGCTCAGATTTCTCGTTATTTCTTCAAAGGGGGTGAGAATTGCCACTAATTTATTAAGGTACAACCACTCTTCTGGAGATATTTGTGGAATACTATGTTTGCTGGCATACAGGCAAATAGAATCTTTAACCTTCAATAGCTGTTCGACCATGTAGTATGTGCTATTCCATCTGAAATAAAGAATTATTATTATTATTATTAATAATAAAAATAATCTATCCTAATATTATAAAGAGGAAAGATTTGTTTGTTTGTTTGACGCGAATAGGCTTCGAAACTACTGGACGGATTTGAAAAATTCTTTCACTGTTGAGTAAAAGCGCAAGTAGCTACACTATTTGCGCGTAACATGGACTATATTTGACGCGGACCAAGTAGGGGGAAACCACCTAGTAATGAAATAAAGAAGACAAAATGTTACTCCTCGTCATGTTTTTTTTGAAAACTGTTCACCATTTTAAGCGCTAAATATAATGAACGAATTATACGTATCATTGGAATGATATAATAAGTAAGTAAGTAAGTATATAAACAATAACATACCTGGTTACACAGTCCTGTATCACGCGAAGGGCAGGTTGATTAAGTTGCTCCGTTTGAATTTTTATCAGCTCATCTTGAGCAATTTGTGAATGATTAAAATGGCCTGATATCTTCCTGCATTTTGCGAGTAAGTCCTTGACCTGGGTTTCGTCGAGTGCAGAACGAACACACAGTTGAAGTTGATGGACTGTGCAATTTATGTCAGGTATTTCAGCCAAATGCATTGCTCTTACCATATTCGATCCACCATCTCTAATAAAACAGTGCAATTGCTCGTTCTGAATATTCTAGTCCCGCAGCATCATTTTAAAATAGTCACAAATTATATCACCGGTATGTCGGCCATGAAGTGAGCAACATTTTAAAACAATTTGCTTACGGGTAAAATCTTCAGTTATCCCATGTGCAGTAAGGCTCAAAAGCGACACATTAGCACTTGGCTCAGACCAAATATCGGTGGTAAATGAGAGTTTTAAAAAATGTTTGAGACTTTGTCCAATTTTGGTAGCTATTTTAGTATATATTTCATCACATATAATATGTTCTGTAAAAAACTGACGCCCTCTTAATTGGTAATTTGGCAAAGCCGTTTGCATAACCCGGCGAAAACCAATGCCTTCGACAAAATGGAACGGAAGATTCTGTAAAGCAATCATTTCTCCGATAACATCATCCATTTTCTTTGCTTTGGGGTGTGAAGTATCCCACATTTGAGTTTTTTTCGTGGATTCTTCTAAAGACAATTGCCGTCTAGCTTGCTGCAATGGTGTTAAAGACGATGTCTGTTGTAATTTTCCTTTTTCACGTTGTTCTTCTAATTTACAAAGTTCTTCAAATTGTTCTTTATGTATAGATTTTAAATGCCCTTTCAGTGATGTTGTTGTCCGGCCTTTTCTTGAATAATTTTTCCCGCAACTTTTGCATTTTGCATAATTATCGTCAACTTCTACAAAGTACTGCCAAATTTCACTAGTTTTCGGCTTCATCACGTTATTTAAATAACAATAACTAATAATTACGCACAAAATTACTTAAAACAATCACGGCTCAATTGCAACTACGCGGTACCGAACGCTTTGACAAGTTGATTCCTGTTATTCATTCACTCACACTCCCACCACCCGCTTGGCCGTGTTCCCGCGGCTTAAGCAAACTCTCGACCATTTCACTTGAAAACACGCAGCCGAGCGGCCGCGTCGCCTAGCGTCGCTCCTTGCGCGTTGTTTGTGATCGTAAATGAACTTCCGATATGACTCCGCATAAATTTTGCGGAGGCGGATGCGGAGGCGGAGGTTAAATTCTTTGCGGAAGTTCCGCAGTAACGGAGGCAGAGGCGGAGTTCCGTTACAACCCTAATTTTGATACAGCTCCGAGGTCTGGGTCGCCAGGTTAACGGTCTTTGTCCTTAGCTCCTGAGTAAATCTCAAAACTGTAGGCATACCCAGACAGAGAGCATAAAACGCATAATTTGAATCCTCACTTATGGGGCTTGAACTTAACTGTTATCTTTTCGCCCACGACGCTGTCTGTTTCCGACTGTTGATGTATTGTTAGGTATCTATACGTAATTCAGAGTATTTCTCATTAAAAATATACTTAAAAAAAGAAAATATTTGGATTTTCATGACAGACACTGACTTCGCGCAGCGCACCTTTTTTCCATTTTTATCTTGCCGCCATCTTATAGGCACCACAAACTTTTTTATATCAAGAAACTCAGACTGACTCATTTCATTTAGGTTGTATTTCTCCCCAGTCACTTTCGCATTAATTATGATTCCATAAATTTGATCGGGAGTGAAGACAGTTCTACTTTTCATGTTTCATTAACTGTAAAATTGTACACGGGATATTTTATTTTATAGTAAATAAAATACAGAAACCTCTACTCTAACTCTTTGGTACATTCAAAACTTTTTCTAAATCAAAAATAGCCACTAAAGCAGGGATGCACAGACTTATTAAGACTAGGGGCCACTCGGGCAAATTATGAACTGATGGCGGGCCGCCAGAAGTATAGGTAATTAAAGACAATAATTTCAATAGAGAAGACGGCCTAAAATTGTCAAACACCTGGGATCCAATAATATCCAAATTAAAATCTCAAAAAGAAAAACAATCCGCGAAAATAGAGGACACCGTGAGCCATTTTTGCCAAAACCCTCCATCTTTTAGTCGATACCAACTCCGGGGAAATAAATACAGATAATGTAACTTTCTTTACAGCTGTGATACTTTTTGACATTCAACACCTTTTGTCTTCAGTCAAGGTGACCACGCACGCTGTAAAGCACGCGAAACGTCGGATAAATTTAAAATTACTATGTTAAATAATTGTAAATTTATAATATTACATAACTTTAATCCGGTTAAAAAGTTTTTTCTTTAAATGTGTAAAGGTTATGTCAATCAAAGACAATACTATCTTTTTGCTTTTCCGCCAGAAATATTCCAATTTATTCTATTAAATTTAGAAATCGTTCCAGTGTCAATCCACGACTTAGCCACCTGTATAATACAGTAAATCTCCATATTCGCTTTCGATGTCATCAAGGAATTGTTTGAATTGCCTGTGATTGAGTCCTCGTGATTTTATGAAATTTACAGTCGAAACTACCACTTTCATGACATTTTGAAATTCAATTTTTTTAGAACAGAGGGCTTCTTGTTGTATAATGCAGTGAAACTGCATGAGATCTTCAGCGTTTATGTTTTTTTCTTGCAGATGCTTTTTCAGTAACTAGCCCAGAATTGACCCCAATCACCGTCAGTCGCAACTCCCGATAATTTTGATAAGTCCAAATCAGTTTTTGAACACTCATCCAGAAGTACATTGAGTATATCAACTCCTTTGGTTTGACCTTTAATGAACACATTCCTAATAACTCTTCTAAGACTTCAAAATCTTGAGTAACGCCTCGTATGAACATGAGAAGTTGAGCTGTGGATATGAGTGGATTCGTCGAGCGCTAATGAAAAAAATTAAATGATCTTGGTTTTTTCATTTAATTGTTCCGCAATATTACCTGACAAAGACAAAATTCGCCTTTGGATAGTCATACGATTCAGTTGAATTTTCTCAAACTTTTTTGCTGCTTCTGGACACATTTTATTAGCGGCTATTTCTATGCATTCTTTTACAAAACCCCATCATTGAAGGGGCGACTTCGCTTTGCTATCATTCGAGAAATTTCATAACTATCTTCTGTAGCTGTTTCTGAATCTTGAATGGGTTTTGTAAACATTTTTTGCTTTCTTAATTCGCCTGTAAACATGGTAAAAGTAGGATTCTGCGTTTCATAGTGCCTTTTTACATTATATTCCTTTGCAATCGCAACAGAATTCTTGGAAATTAAACAAACGACTTTGTTATGCGACCATACAAAATAGTATTTCTCAGTCCAAATTTCTTGAAACTGCCGATTTTCATCTTTAATGTGGAACAAATTATATGACACCGGCTAGTAGAGTTAAAATCTACACTAGAACTATTGACACTTCACTCAAATTAAAACCGAACTGTCGGTCGCTGCGGTTAGCGTGGCTTTTATACCGCGCGTATAAAGTCGAAAACTGTCTGGAGAAATCTCGAAACCGACTCTGGAAGCTTCGTGTATCTACCTACGCGAGCAATCGGAAATTCGGGACTATTGCTATCTCGCTTGCTCGAACAATATACCCCGTGGATAAACCGCCACCGCGCTGCCGTCGTCGCCGCGCCGCCGGCCGCGGCGCTTCCTCAAGAAAACGAATGTAACCGAGATGGGTACGAACATTACCGACCGCTGTTACCGATGCATGCACGGCGCACCGATAAGCGCACTTAAGATTGCGCGCGCGAGATTCAAATTACTTTTCGAACATATTTTTTTCGAAAATATTTTTCGAATGTACGAGAGTATTATTTTAGCTGTCGGCGGCCCACCAGTACTCGACCGGCGGGCCGCATGCATAATTGCTGTTTGCTTTCTCTTCTTTTTTCATTTCACGTAATCTTTCTTTCATATTTCAAATTGTTTCTGTATTTTTCTTCAAGAGACGATTTTTAATTAGATTAAGCTTGCTCATATTTAGCACATATAGTGCATTGATCTTTTTTCGGCTTGAAAAATGAATAGTTGTATTTTGTGTTTCGAAATGTCAAATTTTAAGTGCTAGAAAGTAAAATTTTCAGGAGATTCAAAAAACATTTTTAATGGAGAGTGAGCAACGCAATAACAAAAGAATATCATTAAATTATCTTTTATTACTAATAATTTCCGGTTCCGGCGGTCAAACTGTTAACATGTACGTCAACGTCGTCCGCGGATTTTAATCGTAAAATAGTGTTTTAAAGTGACATTTTCGTGCTGTGAAACGTAAAAACATTAAAACGAAGTTCATTAAACACAACTAATAAAAGAACACAGTGAGAGTGCTTAAATATCGTGCGATAATTGTTGAAAAACTCATTCAGAATTATAACCTCAAATTAATAACGGTCATAGACAATAGACTTGTCTCAGCTTAGCTTAATACCGATACCAACATTACGCCATTGTGACAGTGACATTGACAATAGTAGTGTTGCGACTCAAAATAAATAAAAGCTGACAACCAGTGCTACCATACAAGAAACGAAATTTCCCTAGTCATGGACAAGAACGTGGAACTACTACTAAACAAACTCGATGAGAAATTTAAAAATCAAACCGAACTTATTACATATTCCGTAACTAAGAGCGTCATGGAGGCTTTAGATGAGAAAATGAAAACTATCACTGAGGAAAATAAACTCAAGAACAAAATTTCAGAACTGGAATTTAAACTCCAAAGAGCAGAGATAGAAAAGAGAAAAAACAACCTCGTCTTTTTTGGAATCAATGAAAATATTAAATTAGAAACGGAGTTAGTGGATTATATCAAAGAAATAATTGTGAATATGGAAGTTCATATGGATAGCCAAGAAATTAGCAAAGTATATAGAATTGGGCAGAAAACTGATAATAAAAACCGTCCAGTGATAGTCACCATCACAACTCAATGGAAAAAACATCTTATACTCAAAAATAAGCCTGACCTTCCACAAGGCGTCAACATAAAAGAGGACTACCCCAAAGAAATCCTAGACAAACGCAAACAACTGCAACCGCAAGTAGAAGAAGAAATAAAGAAAGGAAATATCGCCTATATAAAATACGACAAGCTCATTCCAAAAGACCTTATTGAGCTTATTACAAATGCTGGCAAAAAAAAACATTCTTGGTAGTGGAAGTATAATAAAACCTTTTTTTTAAATTGGATGAATCTGGCTAAAAATATGATTTATACCAAAAAGGTACAGATATCTTCCCCAACGATGATTCGCCTAACATCTGAAAATTTTGGTGTCATTTTTAAAAATAAAAGTTACGTCAAATTTGCTAATTAGATATCATAGCTTTGCACACTTTTTCGCATTTTCAATGGTCGCAAGTATAGCAGGTAGAGAATGCAATCCAGACTCGAGATCGTAAATTCGATCATTTCAAATTCGATTCGGGATCTCGTCCAGTTTAAAAAAAAAAAATCGAGTGAATACGATGAAAGCTACTTCTTTGTGATACTGAGGTTAATTAAAACAAAATATTATTTGAAAGAAAACAAAGGCCGAGAATAAATATAAAAGGAATAGGAAAGAGTTAATTACATTTAAATCAACAGCGTGAAAGGTTTTTGGCAGCTCCAAGCAGAGCAATACTGTCAAACGAAATGTATTAATTAGATCAAATTCAATCAACGATTGTCCTCGTAATTACACGCTGAGTTGAGCAGCACGAGTGGAAAGGTTACACATATGCGCCATTAGAGAGACTTTCAATTTAGGAAATATATTTACGAAACGACCATATTTTATACTATATTGGATAACTCTATGTTTACAGAGCGCTCCTATTAACATTCAGTAACCTGTGATTTGTCTTGGACAATAGGAGCAGTGTTGGCTGAGTGACTTCAGCGTTCGACTCTCATACCTCATGGAACCCCGGCTCTGCACAAATGGACTTTCTTTCTAAGTGCGCATTTAACGCGCTCGATCGGTGAAGGAAAACATCGTGGGGAAACCGTCTTGCCTTAGGCCCAAAAAGTAGATGACGTGTGTCAGACACAGGAGGCTGATCACCTAATTGCCTATTAGATTAGATCTTTTTAAAAACTTTTCAAAGGTTTCTGTCCTATGTAAAGTGTGTACATATAACACAAATGAATGGGACGGTGCTGAATTGAGGGAACTACGTCCAACCGACTGTGTATATGTGTAGCACCCCAGCGGAGTCGAAGCGGAACAAACACTATATTATGCATATAGATCAGGGATCAATTTGGTCACGCCTATCTTCAAACATTGAACAATGATGAAAACATTAAAGCTAATTTAAGATCTCTCTATGGCGCTGCAGCACAATCTTTTACGCGCTTTACAGCCGCTAGAAGATTAATAAAATACCTATTGTATTTTAATTATTATGATTACTTTAAAGGACCTTAACATCACTATGATAAATCATCATGCTTTCTTCACGCAATAATTAACCGAGCAATGATTAATTTTGTTTGAACTTATAAATATGGAAATAACACAAGGCTTTATTATTATTAAATTAAAGTGATGAAAAGATTTTTGAAACCTTTGCTACAAAACGAATATAACTAATGTACACAAGAAAACGCGCGTCCGGCCGAGGCTCGAGCCCACAAAAGCGTCAATTAACCCTTTCACGCATAACCCGGAGTTGGGGCAGTTCAAATGTCTCCAGTCACTTAGGCTGAACACAATGCCTCTCGGAGCCCAGCAGTCACATTGTTATTACAGTCCAGAGGCTATTGTTATTGAAGTCATACGAAAATCGGCTTTAATGTAACTGTGCAAGGTGAACGTTTCTGTGTTGAAGGTTTCTCAAGGAATTGATGGGTTTTTGTATGCATGTGCATATGTATTGACTGCTTTAACAAGTAGGCTTCCTAAGCTCAATCAATAATTTCATATTCACAAGTATAATGATTTAATATTAATGCTACTTTTATTAACTTAAAGTGTATTAATGTACTTTGTTGACTACTGATAGGAAAGATACCAATTTTTTTAAGTCCGGCAATACACTTGCGAGCCCTCAGGCATTGAGAGTGTCCATGGGCGGAAGTATTTATTTATTTATATTTATCACTCCTGCCCGTTTGCCTCCTCATATGTAAAAAGTAAAAAAGCGAGAGCTACCATATAGAGAGAGCAATAGTGATAAGTTTACTAGAATAGAACATACGCACAATGTTAATACTCGGAACAAAGCAGGCTGCAATTTTCCCGTACTAGACTATCTAAAGTTAGTTATTCTTTTTTGGGAAAAGGGATACTTTTCTTTAATAAAATCCCAGAGGCTCTTTTATCTCTGCCTTTTAATAAATCAAATAAATGTATTAAGGAAAAGCTGTATAAAAAGGCTTACTATAAAGTTAACGATTATCTAGTTGACAAAAGGGCCTGGGCTAGTCCCAGTCCGCTAGACAGGCTACTTATAATTAATTTGCGATATTAGTTATAAAATAAGTATTGTTTGACATAGTCATTTTGTATGATGAAAGTCTTTTGCGCCGGCATTTTCTCTCGGCCTACACCCTCTGTCTTCTTTGCCGATAAGTAGGGATGTGTACCGATTCAAATTTAATGACGTGGAATAAGTGATACCTGTATCTTATATTCCATGATAAAAATATTTTATTTATTTTTGTTTTATTTTACCCGGAAACATCAAGCGAATACTTCCCAGCGAAGCTGCTTCTAAACATAGGATTAATAATTTTCTGAAAAAATATGAAATCAAAACAGATTAAATGAAGTAAAATGAAAGCCCATTAGGGCTAACGATAACCATTTTTTTGCTAAGGCTCTTTCTGACATAATAGTACAATACTCGTAGTAGGTATCCTTATTTCACTTAAATCTGCTAATAAGTTAGAAACCAAATCCTCTTCATAGGGTTGCCACTTCGTCGACATATTGGTGATGGCGTTGTTTCACTACTACTACTACTACTGAACGGGTGCTACTTGTGGTGACTGATCGAACTTGAATTCGTGTATGCGGTTATGTTAGTTATTTCGAATATGTATTTGCGTGTTGTTCCCACGAGAATGTAAGTGCGTGCTCCTATTTCACCATGCCTACTGCTGATAGAGGACAAATCTTGGTTTTTATTATTATTCATTACTTAAGATGTCATGTGGAACATGGTGTAACGGTTGCAGCTCCTTACAAATGTTGTGTAAAACAAAAAACTTGGCGATTAAAGAGTGGCGGAGTGTTTATTGCCAGTTCTTCTCGTCCGTTCTATGCCCTTGATTTGAAAACTGGCAGTAAATGTAAAATTAGAAGCATTTAGCATTTAATATGTTATTTATTGACGTTCATAAGTGTACCACAATACCTAAATCGTGTGAAGTCCGACGCGTATTACGCTGGCCATAGACGGACCGCATGTTGCAGTCGAGACCGACTGCTCTAGAGCGGTCGCGTTGAAGTCGTACACGACTGCAACACGACCGCATAATGCAGTCGACTACGACTGCTTAGAGCAGTTGTGTTCGACCGCAAAATAAAACTGATGCGAGTTCATTTATAAGATGATTATTATTATTTTTATTATATAGATTATTTTACTCATTCTCGTGCTACATTATTGCTCTTACTTTGTCTTAGTGTTCTATTTAGAATAATTTCGGCGTATATAACAAATTCCGTTCTAATTTCTGGGTTACTTATCGCCGTAGGGAGTGTTTCCAAACCTAATTTAAGGTTCGTCCTGGCCTCGAAATTATACTTTTCGATCATACTCATGGGGCACTCGAGAAGGCAGTGTATTACGTTTTCTTTAGATTGGCCGTCACATGGGCATGTCCTCCTTGCACTTGAATCTATGCAGGTACTCTGAGAAGCCGCCATGTCCCGTGAGTATTTGCGTAATTTTATGTGTTGGTCTCCCATTCTTAAGCACCCCATAAGCGTGTTTTGGCGTTGGGAAGAAGAGATTTGTGACCGCTGCCGAGCTGGGTTCCCGGTATCGGCTACACCACTCCTCGACTGTTTTCGCTCTTATACCTCTTTTAATATAAGAGATGGGGCATTTACTATAATGCGGTTTTATTTTCAAGTGACATGCGGCCGCCTTGGCCGCTTCGTCCACTGCCTCATTACCCTGCAGGCCAGCGTTTGCCTTGACCCAATATAGATTTACCATCTTGCCATTCTCTCTTATTTTGCCTATTTTGTTTCTTGCCTCTGTAGCCAGTCTATTGTTACTCCTTTCGCTCGTTATTGCTTCTAGCGCTGATCGCAAGTCGCTTAATATTGCTGTTGTTTCTGTTTTTTGTTTTTCGGTTTCTCCCAAGGCTGCGTTCACAGCCAGTAGTTCAGCCTGATAGACAGAGCAGTGGTCTGCTAGTTTGAGCTTTTTCTTCATCGTCTCTTCACCACTCTGCCCGTCAGTGGCCACGAATGCTGCGCCCGTTTTCCCATCTATTTTGCTCCCGTCCGTGTATATTTTTATTTCTGCTGCAACCTTGCTGAGGTTTTCTTCGTCCGGTAGTAGCTCGAAACCGATGTTTAGGATTTTGGCTGGATGCAGGCTTTCTGTGTAAGGCACTCTCCTTTCGACTTCTATGTCCTTTAACGTCAATGCAGCTTCGTATGATACCGTTTTATATCCTCCTACTATTTTTTGGGCGAACTTGCGTTGGATGTTTTTTAGTTGACGTTGCACGCATTTCTTCTTTGTGCCCAAGCCGCCGATGCATAGAGCACTATCGGCTCAACTACTGCCATGTATATAGTTCTCGTAATTTCCGGATGAATACCCTAGCTCACTTTAGCGGCTTTATCTATCCTTTTAAATAAATCTATGGTCTTTTGCATTGTATTTGTTATATGCGCATTGAAAGTGAGCTTTTTATCAATGGTTAGTCCAAGAATTTTGATAGATTTGGCCATTTCGATATTGGTTCCTGCCATATGGAGTCTGGGGGTGTCGAATTTTATCTTGTTTGTAATCAGCATGGCTTTCGTCCTTTTCGGGGCGAATTTAAATTTGTTATTAAGTCCCCATTAATTCACCATTGCTAGTGCTGAGTTGGGCTTAACTTCTATATCACTTGCGATGTTTCCCTCGACCAGCAGAACGATGTCATCTGCAAAAGCTTGTGCCGTTATTTCGGCCTCGTGCAGCGTCTTGAGTAGTGGGTCTAAGAGCAAGTTCCATAATAGTGGGCCTCCAACAGAGCCTTGTACGCATCCTTTATTTGTCTGTCTGCATACTACATGGCTTGCGTAGTTCAGTTTTATAGTCCTATCTGAGAGATAGCTATCCATTACCCGTCTGATGTTGATCGGGCAACCTTCTTCCGATAGTCTAACTCTAATACGGGGCCACCACGCATTGTCAAACGCCCCCTCAATATCCAAAGAGATAATAGTGACTAGCTTTTTACTTTTCAAATAATTTTGCACTTTATTCATTAAGTCATGGAGAGCGTCCTCAGTGCTCCTTTGGGGCATGAATCCATACTGGTGTGGGCTGAGTTTTGGTACCAGGTACCAATTAGTCTGTTGACTATCATCTTTTCGAATATTTTGCCCATCACCGGCAGGAGACCGATGGGTCTGTACGACTTGGCTTCTGCGTAATTTTCCCTGGCTGGTTTTCTTAGTATGACCACCGTGGCTTCTTTCCAGATCTTCGGGAAATGACCTAGAGTGAGGCACCTATTAGTTATTGCCAAGTATGTGTCAGAATCGGCCAAAATGGCATCTTTTCAGATATCAGATGTTAGTCCGTCTCCTCCCGGTGCTTTTTTAGGATTGAAAGTGGCGATGACAGCATGGAGTTCACGTTTTGTGAACATAGGGTCCAGGTTTTCATTTTCGGTTCCTGTGTTTACTTTATTCGCCTTTTCTCTGACTTTTGTATGTTCGCCAGTTTCGTTCTCCGTGCTATCCGGGGGGTAGAAAGTTTCAGCTAGGTGTTCAGCTGATTCTAAAAGGCTCAGGACTCTGCCCTCCTTGGCAAGAGGTACATCTACCGTGCGTGCTTTAGAGCGATTCAAGACACGGTAGATTCCCTCCCACATTCCATCTTTCGTCTGTTCTGTACAAAAGTCCCTCCAGCTACTCACTCTGGCCTCGTCGGCGGCTTCCTCGTATTTAGTTTTAGCCTTCAGGTACTGCTCTATTACCTCTGCCTTTCTGACAGGTCTGGCACACCTGATCCTTCTCTTTTTCCTAACTACATCCTACCTCAGCTCCTCTAGGTCATCATTCCACCACGGTGTCTTTTTGTTGGTCCTCTTTTTGATTTTGGTAATGCAATTCTCACATGCCTCGACGACCACTTGGATATATTGCTCTACTACCTTTTCTAGAGTAGCGTTGTCTCCAATGCTCTCTATTCCCTCCTGGCTTGTTAGTTTTTCCGTACACATCTGCCTTATTTCCTCACGGAAATCGGTCCAGTGTGCTTTCCTTGTATTATATATCCTTGTGGTCCAACTTACCTCCTTCAAGCAGGGGTGCTTTCTTGAGTCGCACTCCGAATACGATCGCATTGTGGTCTGTGCTGATCTGTCCCCTCTCTATTTTCCAATCTTCAATTAGGGTGACAACATTCTGAGTTCACAGGGTAATGTCTATGACACTCGAGAATGCTCTGCCGCCTCTAATGATTTCAAAGGTTGGGGTGTTTCCAACATTCAGTACTTGCAGTTCGTGTGTCTCTATGACATGTTCGAGTGCATCACCACGTTTGTTAGTTTTATCACTGCCCCACCAGGTGTTTTTCGCGTTTCCGTCTCCTCCCAGGATCGCCTTCTTTTTGTGTATATGCTTGGCTAGCTCGGTCAGGTGGGGAGCAATGGGGTGCGGTCTGGGTTCGAAATAAATCGATGTAAAGTGTATCTCCCACGCTCCCGTTCCGACTTTCACAGTCACAATATTTGGGGTTGTGAGGTCAGGGATTTGTTCTATTTTTAAGTCTGAGTCAAAGACAACTATGCAAGCCTTGACTGTCGTTCCAGGTGCGGTGCATTGGTATGTTCTGGCACCACTCGGACTAACCATTTTGCCTGTTGCTCCTACATATGGTTCTTGAATGAGGGCAACAGCGATCTTCTTTTCCCTGGCGTCGTTTGTTAATTCGGTAGTGGCTGGCGCTTTCCTTTGTAGGTTTATTTGTATTACCAAATACGTCCTTTCTGTTTTGTCTATTACGGTTTGTTGATATCGATTATTTGTTGAGGTGCCCTTGTCTTAACATTTGTAGTACGCGTAACTGCGTCTAGCTACGGCGTCCCATCTCCTCCTTGTGGGGCAATCACTGTCGAAGGCATTGTGTTTATGTTCTTTACCGGTTTCCTTGCAGTTTTTGCACTGCGGGGGGGTTTCCGTTTTTAAACTCTGTGCATTCCGATTTAAAGTGCTCTCCCCCGCAGTGGCTGCAGGAGTCATTCTCTACTTCGCAGTGCTTTCGGCCATGTCCGTATCCTAAGCAGCGCATGCATTGCATGAGGGGAGACTGATCCACTACCAGCACCCTTTGCAGGTCTATATGTAGTTTGCCTGCTTGCGTTAGTGCCTGCCAGAGACTCGGCGATACCTGTAGGACTACATGAGATTCGTGTTGGTTTCTGGCTTTGCGACGATATTTTTCCTTGATCCTGTAGTCCTTGTCTTCTAAAATAAAAATAAAATAAAATAAAATATGTTTATTATGGAACATAAGATACATGTATCACTTATTCCTCGTCATTAAATTTCAATTTGTAGGCATCCCTACTCATCGGCAAAGACAGAGGGTGTAGGCTGAGAGAAAAAGCCGGCGTAATAAACTCTCGGTACTCTTTTAAAATAGCAAATCATCAAACAACACTTATTTTAAAACAAATATCGCAAATTAATTAGAGGTAGCCTGTCTAGCACTAGTCCCAGGCCCTTTTATCAACTAGATAATCGTTGACTTTATAGTAAGCCTTTTTACACAGATTTTCTTTAATACATTTCTTAAATTTATTGAAAGGCAGAGATAAAAGAGCCTCTGGGATTTTATTAAAGAAGAGTATCCCTTTCCCCAAAAAATAATTACTAACTTTAGATAGTCTAGTACGGGGAAATTGCAGCCTGCGTTTGTTCCGTGTATTAACATTGTGCGTATGTTCTATTCTAGTAAACTTATCACGATTTTTGTATACATACATAATATTTTCATAAATATATTGCGAGGGAAAGGTAAGTATATTAATTTCCTTGAATTTATCTCTAAGAGATTCCCTACATTTTAAATTATAGATGGCACGAATAGCCCTCTTCTGCAGGATGAAAATAGTTTCGACATCAGCAGCATGACCCCATAATAATAAGCCATAAGTCATTAAGCTATGAAAGTTACTAAAATAAACAAGTCTAGCTGTATCGACAACAGTTAGTGAGCGAATTTTTTTAACCGCGTAGGCTGCAGAACTAAGTCTCTTCGCCAATCCGTTAATATGAGGGGTCCACTGAAGTTTTGAATCCATGGTGATTCCGTTGTATCAGTTGTATCATCCAGATTCAATTCCTCACCGTGTATAATTGGTCTAGTATCCATAACCGTTGCATTTTTTGCACAAAATTTAATGCATTTTGTCTTTTTTGCATTAAGTAGAAGGTTATTCATACTAAACCAATGGACAATCGAAGATAGAGCATTGTTCACATCGTCAAAATTTGTTATTTGTCGTTTGATTTTAAAAATCAAGGACGTGTCATCAGCAAACAAAACTATCTGATGTTTTCTCTCTACCATTCTATGCCCTCTGCGATGTTGTTTTGAGTTTTTATGGCCTGCTTAATATCTTCTTCAGTGTTGTAGCTCAACAGGTTTTTTATGACTACAAGGGGGTCCTTGTTCTCTACATCTTTTATTTCTATATGTTCTTTCTTTCCTTCTAGCCTTTTCTTGATCTTATTCTTTTCTTCAATGTTTCTACAACCAATGACTATTTTGCCGTCTTTAATTTTTCTGACTCTATTTATCTATTTTTATTCCTCCCTCTTTAGCGTTCACCACCTCTCTTATTCTTTTCATCATCTGGTCGCTGGTCTCATTTTCTTTTATTGGAGAGATGATCATTGAGTGCATTTCGGCTCCTCTGTTGAACATACTTTCTCGTCCTACTTCTGTCTTTGGCTCCCTTTTGTTTGGGTCAGGGCACACTAACCTGATATGTACTTAAGCTATCTGTTTACAATTTATGATTGAAAAGGTGCAATATTACAGTTACAGAGTTATTCACTAAGATAAAAATGTTATTTAAAGGATGAAATTTTATTTGTATTAATTCTTTTATGTATATTAATGTGCACTAGAATGAGTTTTATCAAATGGTGCATAAACAGATTATTAATAAGCGAAAAAGAAACTTTTATAGGTATAAATTTAGTAAAGATTTACAATTTTTATCAAATATGTTGTTTAAAAAAGTTGTTTAAAACGTTATATAAAAGATGAGATTTAATTTATATTAAGCACTTTGTATATGTTAGGTTAGGTTAGGTTTTATTTGTATTAATTCTTTTATGTATATTAATGTGCACTAGAATGAGTTTTATCAAATGGTGCATAAACAGATTATTAATAAGCGAAAAAGATACTTTTATAGGTATACATTTAGTAAAGATTTACAATTTTTATCAAATATGTTGCTTAAAAAATCGATGCGCCGTACGTAATTATGGGCTCTATGACCATTTTATAAATGAGCCTGATGTTTTCTGGGTGTGGTCCCCATGTGGGTCGTATAAAGAGGGTGAGTTTATTAAATATATGTGTGTGGCTTTAGTGGTAATGTATGTGATGTGATGTTTGAAAGTGAGTTTGTTATCTAATATGATTCCTAAATATTTTATTTTATGTGTAAACTGTAGTAAGGTGTTATCGAAGTGTATTTTACAGGTTTGCGCTGGATTAGAGAAGGCTATGAGCTGTGTCTTGTCGGGTCCGAAGTGGAGTTTGACCCCTTCACCCCATTCTTTAATAATGTTCAGTGCTTGGTTAGCTTGAAGCTCTAATTCCTTGATGTCTTTGTGTGTGATTAATAGAATGACATCGTCCGCGAACGCTTGGATGTTGCACCCTGGTGGGAGTGTGGTGTTTAATAATGTGTTGAGTATGATGTTCCAGAGAATCGGACCGCATGCCGACCCCTGGATACATCCCTTTTGTGTATTGCGTGTTGTGCTTGTATTGCCCATATGGAGTGTTACTGTTCTGTTGGTGAGATAATTTTGTATTAGTTTGTATATATTGAGAGGGCACTTGACTAACCGTAATCCGCTCAATA